GTTCTGGGTGCCGCCGTCATCGTAATAATCATGGCCGCCGCCATGTTTGTTGCCATGCTCTTTCGCCGCTCGCTGGGACAATGGCGTCACTGCGCGCGGTTTCTCCCTGGCGCCCAGACCCGCCTCAGCAGCCATCCTTGCCGCGGAGCTGCGCAGAGAATCTTTTGCCCGAGCCAAACTTTGTAGTTCTGCCTTCCACACCTCAGTTTCCTCTTCTCTTTCTGACTTGACTCTCCCGTCGGAACACGCACCGTCCATGGCACCAGATTAGTCACTTCGGGCAACGCTGATTACTCACTCAGTTCAGGCTCCGTTTACTTCTGACACCAATGTAATGAATCCACTCGACAGCCGAAGTCCCGATGAACAGGGTTTTATTTTCACTTTAATGAGCTGCTATTTTCGGAGGCTACAGCTCACGCCTCGAACAACAGAACCGGAACTCTCTCCCAAAAAACCCGCCAACCAACAACAACAAACTTCCGGTCCCGACCCCGCCACCCTACTAAACTCCAGCCCACCGGACGGGTACAAATAAACACTTGTGTGGGTCAGACCGCAGAAAGCAGACCATGATCCTCCACACATACACAACAAGGGCTTCAAAATAAACTTACAACCTGTAACACATTACAAACACGAAACAGTATCAGAACTTAAACACAGAATCATTACAATAATTTCTCCCTCTGCCCTCCCGCTGTAGAATACTAGCGAAGCTTATAAACAACAACAGTAGTTTTTGTCACTCTGCAGTGTTTCAGATGTTTGAAGAAAAGCTCGTGTTTTTGGATGTGGAGTTCAAGGAGGAAAAACTGGCGATGGAAAGAAGACATGGAAGTTAGTTTCACGTGCGCATGCAATAGCACCAGAGCTGCTCCTCGAAGCCGTCCATCTTGCTAAGTGAACAGTCTGCTCCTGCTCTGCCTCAGTGTTGCCTCTGCAGCCACAAACACACCCATAATGTTTCCCTACCAGAGGATACATCACAAAGGCTGAAAAATCCTAAAAACCTGAATGAAATTAGGGGAGCATAATACACAAGGAAAATATATTTTTAGAATTTTACGTTTTTCAGAAAATGGGGTTTGCAGTATACTTGAATCACAATATATGTGTTTAAATTCWGTTTTCTCCAAACTGAGATRATTCAACAAGCTATCTCCTACAGGTAAGATATTAACTATTTGTATTTTTTAAAGAAACTTCACTTCAAAAGATCTGAACTGCCCCTTTAAAAAGAAAGATGCTTATTGGTGGGGTGTTTGTGTTTTTAACACGTGCCAACAACAGAAATGCCTAAAGGACTCAAAGGAAATGGATTTCTGCAATCTGAACATAAAATCCAGTGCTGTTGTGTCTGGATGGTCTCTCTCTTCATTTATACTTTTTTATGAGTTTTTTGTATTTCCCTTTAAAGTGCGAACATTGCAATATACTTCATAGCTGTTTTTTTGTTMTTMTTTTTTRCCCAAATAAGGTCACACAGGTAGTGTTTGAACAAGGAGTAAGATGTGGGCGTAGGTCAGGGATTTATCAAAAAAGTCTGAAAATGTATAAACGGTTAACAGGGAGTCATTTTGAACCTGCAGAGGTGTTTTATCTTGTATATTTTTGTTTGTATGGCCAGTAGCTTACAGGGTTCTCTTTGCTGTGTACAGGTTCATATAGGTTTAACTGATGCTTCTGTATATCTTGTCTTCCTTTCATTTTAAAAAAGAAATTTTAAATATAAAAGGTATTATAGGTTGCTATTTTTTTAAGTGCAGAATATTAGTTTAAGATTAAATGCTACAAGAATTGGAATATGAAAGTGTACTTTTCCCCCCTGTAAAGATAAGTTCATTTTTTTAAATTGGATGTGAGTCCAATTAACTGGATGTATGAGCTGATAGTTTTCTTTTTAAATGTAAATCTGGGTCTAATTAAAAGAATTGCTATAATTCTTTGAACTGCCTGTGAAATGAGTCAGGACTTGGCTCTTTTTTTTCTATATTCTCTTATTTTATGACTGTTCAAGCACAGGTTTGTTTTGGTGAAAATGAATTTYCAATCGAAATTTGTGACACATTTTTGTTATTGTCAAGAACGTAACCGTTAAATCTATTAATGAAAATAATAACAAAACAAAAATAACTTTCTTCTGTCTATTTGGTGATGAGAGGCTGCTCTGATTAATGTGTTTTTAAAGGTAGAAAACAATCATTTAWCACAATACTAGAAGATGAGGATAAATGATTGTGTTTTTGCAGGTGTTCATGTGTCTGTTTTAAAAATATTAAATTTTCAGATGCATTTGAGTTAAACTTTTAGGATGAATATAACTTTCAGAAAGTAACCAGTGGACGTACAACGCCATTTCCAATACGGTTGGGACGTTGTGTAACACAAATAAAAACAAGYATTTGCAAATCCTTTTCAACCTCAATAAATACACTACAAAGACAAAATATTTAATGTTCACATGGATAACCTTTATTGTTTTTTGCAAATATTCACTCATTTTGAATTAGATGCCTGCAACACGTCCCAAAACAGCTCAGACAGAGGTAATGAAAGGCTGGGAAAGTAGAGGATTGCTCAGAAAAATACCTGTTTGGATCATTGAACCGGTGAACAGGTTCATTGGAAACAGGTGAGTGTCATGATTGGGTATAAAGAGAGCATCCCTGAAAGGTTGAGTCATTCACAAACAAGGATGGAGGGATAGAGGTTCACCACCTTGTGATTAACAAATAGTCCAACAATTTAAGAATGTTTCTCAATTTTCAGTTGCAAGGAATTAAGGCATTTCATCCTCTACGGTCCAGAATATCATCAAAACATTCAGAGTTTCTGGACAAATCTCTGCAAGTAAGAGGCAAGGCTGAAAAGCAACATTGAATGCTCGTGACCTTTGAGCCCTCAGGTGGCACTGCATAAAAACCCAGATCATTCTCTAAAGGATATTAAGCACATGAGCTGACGAATGCAAGTTAACCATGGCATGGGTAACTTACACATCTGAGAAGGCACCATTAATACTGAATGGTATACAGGTTTTGGAGCAACGTATACTACCAATAAAGCCACACAGTTTTCAGGGACATACCTGCTTATTTCTGCAAGACAACGCCGAGCCACATTCTGCACGTGTTACAACAACGTGGAGTGTGGGTACTATGGCCAGCCTGCAGTCCAGACCTGTCTCCCTTTGAAAATGTATGTAGTATTATAAAGCACAAAATATGACAACGGAGATCCCCGGACTGTTGAGCAACTGAAGTTGTACATCAGGCAAGAATGGGAAAGAATTGTACACAACTTCAACACTTAGTGTCCTGATTTCCCAAACGCTTAGTGAGTGTTGTTAAAAGTAAAGGTGATGTAACACAGTGGTAAACATGCCCCTGTCCCACTTTTTTAAAACAAATTTTAGGCATCAAAATGAGTGAATATTTGCACAAGAGAAATAATAAAGTATATCAGTTTGAAAGTTATGTCATTTTGTCTTTGTGTATTCAACTGAATATAGATTAAAATGTATTACTTGTTTTTAAGCAGTTCTGTTTTATAAACAGAAATTATTAATCCTGATGGTTAAACTGTTGGTTAGAACTTATTTTTAAAGTGTTAACGAAGTTTCAGTGAACTAAGATGATGTCATTGTCATAAGTAAAAACTGATGTTACTGTCTCTTTAAGAGAACGTGCGTTTCAAAGGTTTCAAAGAACGTGACGCGACGTCTCGCGTGTGTTACATGCCTGAAAACCGGGAATAGGCTGCGTATGGTCACATTTACGTATACTTCCAAACTTTTTCAGGTTAGTAAATTATCTCCTCTTTGAGCCGTTTCATCTCACAGATAAACACGACATCACCAGCGCGCGGCCTGTTATGAAGTTTGTTTCGTTTATTCATTCATTCATACCCGACTGTGATGCTAACACCGAAAGCTAGCATGTATTAGCTAGTTGTAGGTTGTCCAGCGTTATTTAAAGCCAACCATAGAACGGATTTACTTAAGATAATGTTACATTTTACACGGCGCCTCATAATGATTGTTAAGTAAGTTTTGTCACTTTTGTTTGCGGTAAGAATTTTAACTTTAAGTTCGGCCATTACCGACTTGCTAACTGTTAGCATTAACACATGTTTTAGTGTTAAATCACGCTGCTGGTTAAAACACATTCTCGTTTGGTGAACCGAAATGTCCCGAACTCTTGATCAAACTAAACTGTGTTTATCATTTTTTAGAGAGTTTCCCTGCTTACTTCACGGTTATTATTGTTGTATTCAGTGCCCTCACTTTGCACGTTTGGCAGCAAAAGGAAATCCAGCTGTATCCTGAGGGGTTAAAAGTCGTTGTTAAAAAAAAAGCACCCTTAACAAGGAAGCGCGTTTTAGTGAGCTTGTTTTCACCAATAAATCCAATTAAAACTCAAAGGCTTGAATATATTTTTTTAATTTGAGCACCCCTAATTGTATTATGTTGTTTGATTATGTTTAAGTATACTGAGACAAAGTTGAWTAAAATTGGTAGCAGGGTTGCAGGCACGAAATCCTCACAATCTACTAGTCAGTCCCATAATTTTGCTCCCATAATACTTTACCAGAAGCAACAGTTAACGATTTTACAGGGGAAGTAATAAAAAAATGTACTTACAAGGCGAGGCACATGTGCAATAAATACAGTGACCTCTACAGCAGTGGTTCCCAAACTTTTTGTCTTCTGACCCACAACAWATRCATGGCAAAAACTTGTGACCCCAAATATTACCGGTCTGAGTARACAAACTCTGTTAATAACCCTAAAAACACAGGCTTTTTGACAATCTAAACAGCTTATACTCAAAAATAAATACTTACTTTTACTTATTTTTTGTTTTTGTAATAATTATAGGGAACAAATTACATCTGGAGATTATCCAAGGTGCTTCATGACCCATAATTGGGTCCCAAGCCCAACTTTGGGAACCAAAGTGC